GAGTTTTCTTAGCTTTTTATTGTCTTTGAGCTTAATACAATTTATTATGTAAATTATATTGAGCTGAAAATCATGCAAGTGATTTTGCCCATAGAAATGCAAATTAATTGTCTCAAAGAGACATGTATATGATGATTCCCTTGTGGATGTTGACTTGTTTTCCTCTCTTTGTAAATTCATTGCAAGTCTTTCTGATCGCCTATGTTTATGTGTGTTTTTAAATTCTCCTTTGGGTTGGTTACACCATCTTGCTGATTCTCTCCTTAATTAACTAAATAAATCTTCGGCATGTGTTCATTTTATATGTCTATAAACTCTCATTTTTTTAAAAAAAGTCTTTTAACAGAAATCAGGCTAAAATAAAAAAGACAAATTAGTGGACTATAGGAATGGTCTACTTGCATCTGTACAAGATAGTGACAGTAAAGATGGAGAGAAATAAATCAAATGGACAAAACTTCTTCAAAAGGATAAATTAAAAGGGCAAAAATTGAATGTTGGGATGAGAAAGAGGAAAGAATGTACGAGTTCACTGTTTCTGAGGAACTAAAAAGGCGAGTTGTACCATTCATCAAGATAAGTAATAAAGGAGAATAAACAAATTGGTGGGCAAATAAACACTAATACTATATACTGTTACTGAGCAATCAATGGGCTTGCCTCTTGACATACATACAAGCCAATACCATGGCACCTTTTGAGAAAAGCAAAGCTTTATTGCAAGTAGACTGGCAAGGAGACAGAAGAAATGATTAATGAGGTATGATCTGATTGGATCTTGCAATGAGGTAATGCTGGGAGGCATCATCTGATTGGATCCTGCCTTGGGGTGTTGCAAGGGCTCCATCTGATTAGATCCTGAATTCTGCCACGTGATGTCCCTTCTTAATTCAGTCCCTACTCCTCAGTCTGAGCACTTGAGTTCCACCTGTGGTTGCATGCTTGGTTTATCTGGGCATGTTCAGGCTATGTGACCGTTAGCCCAGGGGGCTATGGCAATTGAAAAACAGCTCACAACTTTGACATAAAAGTTGAACCAGATTAGTCCACTGAGGTTACAACATCTTGTTTTTGTTCTACCTGTGAGTTATTCACATGGACTCTGAAGCCCAAAAGAGGTCTGATCTGTAGTTAATGTTAGGACTTTGTCAGCTAGCAAAGTGGATGGGATTATCTAGGAAGGGGATTTAGAGAAGATGAGATAATAGTTAACAAACAAACAAAAAGCTATATTTAAGTGACTAGTTTGACTTTCTTCAAATTGACTAGAATGTGAATATACACACAGCAAAATTCATGTTTTATTCATCGGTATTACTCCAGAGCCCTGCCAAATGCTTGGTACTTCATTATAGTTAATAATGCTACCTTTCACTGATTGACGATCTATTGTGTTTCAGGAACTGTCCTAAGTACTCCACATATATTTGCATATTTAGTCTTCACAATAACTCTATGCAGTAGGTATTTTACAGATAGGGAAACTGAGGCCCAACAGAGGTTAAGTAACTTGCCCCAAATCATACAGATGGTAAGTAAATGAGCTAGGATTTGAATCTTGGCAAAACTGGTTCCAGAGTCTATCATCTTAAATACCATCTTAAATACTGTGCTATGTGACATATATAGTTTAATATGTGTCTGCTGAAAAGAAAGAACAAAATAAATTTTTAAAAAGAAGGAAGGAAGAAAGAAAATATAAAATATCAAAGGAAAGATGGGGCCAGGCATGGTGGCTCACACTTGTAATCCCAGCACTTTGGGAGACTGAGGTGGGCAAATCGCTTGAGTCCAGAAGTTTGAGACCAGCCTGGGCAACATAGTGAAATCCTGTCTCTACAAAATACACAAAAATTTACCTGGCATGGTGGTGTGTGCTGTTAGTCTCAACTACTTGACAGGCTGAAGTGGGAGTATCACTTGAGCCCGAGAGTTTGTGGCTGAAGTGAGCTGAGATCGTGCTACTACATGCCAGCCTGGGCAACAGAGTGAGACTGTCTCAGGAAAAAAAAAAAAAAAAAGACGAAAGAAAAAGCATACATTAATTGGGTCCATGTTTGATGATCAGAAGTATCTGAAAACAAAATTGGTGGCTTGTTTCTACTATATCTCTAAGTCTCTAGAACAAGAAATGTTTCTCACTGAAATTTGTTTTTATTTGGTTTTACTGAAGTTCTTCCTCTAATCAGATGTTAACAATTATCTTTCAGAAAATCCAGTTAGATCTATCCTGAATTCTCAAGCATAAACTACCCTGAGTCTTAATCTTGGCCTTGCAGTATCTACTTTTTCCTTTTCTTTTGTTCCCGTCAGTTCCCAGCTGGTAGTAATGAGTTAAGGAGGGTTTTCCATGAGAGGGGCAGAAACATTTCTGACCACAAGAATCATCTAACACTGCTTTCAAACAAGTTGTACTGAAAAAATATACTAGAGATTTTGTCACAGGAAGTCTGTCTCCTGTGAATATGTAAGAGATTTCCTCAAAGAAAATATATTCGAGTATATTAGAGATTTACTCACAGAAAATCTGTCTCCTGAGTTTGTATTTTTTGTCACTATTTGGCTGTGAGAATGTTCTGTGACCCTTGTCATGGTCTTTTTTGCTTTTCCTGAAACCTCTTTCCGATCAAATGTTGATATCCACTTATTGCTATTAAGAAATCTTGATACCTTAACCTGTGCACTAAACAATATTCCTGGCATATACTGAGTATTTAACATATTGAGTATTGTTATAATAACAGGCTGGATCCGTTAATGCCACCCTGAGTCTAGAACTGCAGCAGTGGGTCTTGAGTCTAGAACTGCAAGTACTCTGAGTATTCAGGAACTTGGGCTGCCAGCAAATCTGTGCCCTCATTACCTTCAAACCTGTCCTACTGGATGCATCATATCACCCCACCAAGCCTCTGAATCCATATACTTGGTTCCCTTTTAACACTAACAGTAATACTAATACTAGTAATACTAATAATAGTAATACTAATAGCACTAATATCCACTGTATTGGGTATACCACTTGTTTTTTCAATCTAACACTTGTTGAACAGTTGGGTTGATTCCATTTTTTAATATGGGTAAAACTACTATGAACATTTGTGTACAAATCTTTGCATGGATATGTTTTCATTTTTCTTGAGTAGATTCCTACGAGTGGATTTGATGGATCATATGGTAAATTTATATCTGACTTTTTGAGACCCCTTGAATTATTGCCAAGTATCTTCATTTCTTCTCAACCATCAGAATGCCCAATCTCCCTGTTCAAGATGAGAAATTAGTTACAGAGAAAATAAAAACTGCCTTGGTTAGCAAACAAAAAGGAAAAACTCTGCACACTGAGAAATAGTCTTTTATTCTGTTTTTTGTTTTCTTTTTTGTTTTGAGACTGGTTATCACTGTGTCACCCAGGCTGGAGTGCAGTAGCAGGATCATGGCTCACGGCAGCCTGGACCTTCCAGGCTCAAGTGATCCTATCCTACCTCTCAGCCTCCCAAGTAGCTGGGACTACAGGCACGTACCACCATGCCTGGCAATTTTCTTTTTTTTTTTTAGACAGGGTTTTACTACGTTGCCGAAGTTGGCCTCAAAATCCTGGATTCAAGCTATCCTTCTACCTCGGCCTCCCAAAATGCTGGGACTACAAGCGAGCCACCACGCCCAGCCAACATCCTTTTTGTTAACTGAGCCTACTAGCCCCAGAAATGTAGCCCTATGCTGACAAGACTATGGAGCCTATAAGTTACTTCCATTTATATCGTCTCTTAGAAAATGGCCCGAGAAGAGACTCTGGGTTGGGCTTCTCCATCCCTTTTCCAATATTTCTAACCCTCTGGGTGTCAATCATACCATTTTGTATTCCAAGGGACTTAAATGTGGGCTGGGCCAGTGGCAGGGTGGTGACCATACTGGGCAGTTTGGGTGGGGCCAGGAGAATTTCAGAACATAAGCAGGCTTTGACCTGAAGCGTCATCCATGGGCAATATGGAGGCAGCCATACCTAAAACCGTTGTGAAGAAAGCTACACAAAGGATGATCTGAAATGTCCTTCGTATGGCTTCTTAAGCCTGCGGACATGAGGTACTCACTGAAATAGTGACACATGTCCGCACTTACGAGATTCTAATGACCTTTCATTCGCCTAGGGACTGTTGAGAGAAATCTCTTGATACTTAACCCAGCTCTCTCCCTATTGCCCAATCCTCCATCCAGACTTTTATCTGGATACCCCAGTCCCTTCTTTCTCTATACCTCCCTCCCCAGTCCACCTTCTAAGGCAAGGTGACACTCATCTAATCAGTCTCCTTACGGAGGAACTTTGACATTCTTTTTCTTCTCAGAGTTTCTGTGCTATTGAAACCCTGTAGTTAGAGTTCTGAGGCTCTATAAGCTTTACATGTATTCATAAGACCTAAATAAAAACAAAGATTGTTTTCTAGCTATATAGATCAAAATTACAGATACACACACACAGCTTTATATATACATACATGTAATTTTAAATTGATGAATTTTAATGACCGTTTGGCAAAACATGCCATTATGCAAAGGGGCTTTTACTCACTCGTATAATTTTATGTTTCTATTTAGACATTTACATTAATATGTTTATATGGAGTACAGGTGTATTATCAGTGTAATTAAACTCTGATATGATATTGGAAAGCTACAGTACACTGCAGACAATTTACAAGGGTCACCTCTGGCCTGGTGTTCTCAAAAGCCTCCGGATTTGTCATTCATCAGGTAAGTTGAACAGCTTTGCGTTGCTACCTTCAAAACCTTTTTTTTTTTTTTTTTTTTTTTTTTGAGACAGAGTCTCGCTCTGTTACCAGGCTGGAGTGCAACCTCCGCCTTCCTGGTTCAAGCGATTCTCCTGCCTCAGCCTCCCGAGTATCTAGGACTACAGGCGCGCCCAGCTAATTTTTGTATTTTTAGTAGAGACGGGGTTTCACCATGTTGGCCAGCCTGGTCTCAATCTCTTGACCTCGTGATCCGCCCGCCCCGGCCTCCCAGGGTGCTGGGATTACAGGGGTGAGCCACCGCGACCAGCCTCAAAAACTATCTCGATCTCCCTTACCACCTGAGGGGTCGCTGGTGACCACACCCATGGAATCTGCTGGATCTCCTGCGGTGCTGGACAATTTGACCCTCCTCCTCCCCTGGTCCCGCCCCTTCCCCCCAGAGTCTTTCGGCTTGGGTGGAGGACGCGGCTGCTGCAAGTCTTCGGCTCTGATCCAGGCCACAGATTCCAGGTTAGTGAGCAAGTTCATTTTCTGGCCAGCTACCGCTGTCCCCACTTGTCTGGAGAGTTTGACCCGCCCTGCGGGTCGGGTTGGGGGTTCACGGGTGAAAGAAGAATGAGAGAGACTTCTGCATTTTCGAGTTGACTCAAGTTTGGGAAGGGAGCACAGAAGAGGCACCTTTGCAGCTGGGAATAGGCCGTGTAAAGCGTAGTGAGAGTGAAACCTCGATTCTAGAAGCTAAAATATGTAGGGGAGGCAGCTCTGGAAACTTTGCATTAGGGAATCACTGCAAACGATTTGTCAGGCGTGGATTCAGAGTCAGCATCCCTTCCCCCCTTCCCCCCATCCCCCCATCCCCCCATCCCCTCCCCCCATCTCCAGCCTGGCCGCTCCAGGAAGTGAGCACCATTTATCCTCCACCCCAGGCGGCCCGACTCCTCCCAGGCGGAGTTGGGAGTTGAGCAAAGTCCTGACCTGTAGGTCTGTCCGTTCAACGGCCAAAGGCTGGCGGAGGAGGAAGCCCCTGCCTTTCTCGGAACGGAGCAGAGTCATGCGTGGTTGAGTTAAGATAAAAGAGGAGTGAGCGCCCTCTGTTCCTTAAAATTAGTTTAAGGCGCCTTGGATTGCTCTGAAGAGCTTTGACCACCTGATACTGCTTATATCTGGAAATTACTTGGCTTCTCATTCCCCAGATGTGCGGGTCAGAGAGGGATGTCTACCGTTCTGTTGACTGGCTCTTATTGTACTTCTGGCAGAGGTGACAGGGCAGTGAAAGAGATAAGGTCCTTTTCCTTTCGGAACTCATTATATCTTTATTTCTTTTTCTTCCTCACCGCAAATGACCCCACTGAGGTTAGAGACATTTTATTTAATCAATCAGTCAATAGAGACAGAAATGTGTGGTTCGGAGCCAGACTGCATGTGTTCAAATCCTGACTCTGACAGACACTGGCTGTGTGCCCGAAGACTGTTGACTTCTTTGAGCTTTAGTTTATTTCATCTATAAGATGGATGGAGTAATATGTATATCCTATTCTGTTCTGGTGAGGATTAAGCGAGACAGATTTAAACACGTAGGAGGCTGTCTGACATCATGTCAAAATTATGGTCATTATTACTGGCAAACTCCATGCCTAGCTTTTAAAAAATGCACAATCAAAACAATTTTTAAATTATAGGTTTGTGAAATGCAGGGGGTAGAAATTCTTTTGAAGTGCAAATTAAGTTTTTTGTTTTGAAACTGATTATGTTCCAATTCAAATATTTATTGAGTCCTGTTAATCAATTCCAGATAATAGGTTAAATATAACCCTACACAAAGATAAAAAAAAATGTTATTCCTAAAGTGCAAGAACTCATGCCCAATTCTCTTATAAATGCAATTGCCACCTATTTTATTCCACTTTCACTAAGGCTCCCAGCTGGTGGACAGGCCTGCTCTGTCATTCCTAACTCTGAACCCTCAGCCTACACCAGCCCCAGTATCCCCTGCTGAGTCACTGATTTTTATTCGGAAAGCCATTTTGATATCGATGCGAGCTTCCATTCTAAAAGATGCTTCATATCTAAATAGCAGACCATTCTCTGTCCCCTTCCCTCTTCTAGCTGTTTTGCTCCCTAAATTGTATCCACCTGGGAAAGAAGGTCTTTTATCTAAGGCAGTGCTTCTGAAGCCTTAATGGGCATAAGAATCATCTAGAGAACTTATTAAAGTGCAGATTCTGAATCATTCCAGGAAAGACTGAGATTCTGCATAAAGAACTCCAAGTGGTTGCAGCGTTGCTAGTTAGCAGACCTTTTTCACGCATCTGGTTCTGATTTAATTGGTCCCACCTGGTTGTGAATTTGGGCTCTTTCTTCTGCTAATTTAATCCACTGGGCTCTGGGACTGCAGGCTCTCCTCGTCTGCACTCCTCACAGTCAGAATGCCTTCTCTCAGCCCATCCACTCTGCTCTGGAGACTTGGCCTCAGTTGGAAACTGGCGGCCTGCCATATCTCCCTTGGGCTGCACTCAGCTGCAGTGGGCAGTAAGGGCTTGCTGGTGTTTGGGCAAGGGTCACTCAAACCTATGCTCTGTATGCTTCCCTCCTTCACAATTTCTTTCCCAAGCCTCAGCTTCGACAAGACAGCTCAACTCTTACATCTTTTTTCTGCTCAAGAATTTTTCTGTCTAAAGCAGAGTATTAGATGAATATCTAAAGCAGCATATTAGATACGAAAAAAAGGACATTTATATGTTTTTATGAAATAGAAATAGAATGAAGCCACATATGTAATGTTACTTATTCAAGTAGCCTCATTAAAAATAAGCAGGTGAAATTAATTTTAATATGTTTTATTTAACCCAATACATGCAAAATACAATTAGGACATGTGATCAATATTAAAAAATTAATAAACTACTTTAATTTTTTTAAACTAAATCTTCAAAATCCAATGTGTGTTTTGTACCTAAAACACCCCTTTTCTGAGTAACCACACTTCAAATGCTGAATAGCCATATGTGGCTACATGTTTGACAGCACAGTTCCATTGTGCTTAGAAGATCAGAAATCAAGCCTTTAATTTTTCTTCTATTTTTTTGTTTCTGTCATGTTTATTGAGTTATAATTTCCATCTAGTAAGTTACAAATTTTAAGCATACAATTCTGTGAATTTTCACAGTTGCAGTCAGTTGTGTAACCACCACCGTGATCATGATATGTAAAGGGCGTTTCCATCACCCTTCAAATTTCCTTATGCCCTTTGCAGTTCATCCTTTTCTCCCTCTCCTGGGCCCTGGCTTCCACGGATGTGCTTTCAAATACTATAGCTTTCTCTTTTCTAGGATTTCATATAAATAACATCATACAATAACTTAAATTTGATGTTTGGGTTCTTTCACTTTGCATGCTTTTGAGATTTATCTTGTTGTGTGTATTAATATAACAGTTTAATTGTTTAGTAATATGCCGTTGTATGGATACACCACAGTTTGTTCATTTACCAGCTAGTGATGTCATGAATTCTTTTCAGTTTGGGACTATTACTACATTGCATTTATGAGGCAGCAATTCTCCTTCAAGAGAACTGGCTACACTAAGTACAGTTTTGCCTGAAATGAAATTGTGCATGTGTTTGTTGGGGAAGATGGATTGGAATTGGACTTTCAATTAAAATATAATACCAACACAATTATTTTTTAACAGTAAGAGTTTCATAAGATAGCGCATTTATTTCTATACTCTAGTGCCAACATCAAGGCCAACTATAAGCTCAGCAGTAAGTTATAATCTATTATAAAGTTAATTGATCATTTCCTGTCTTAGTTGCAATGCTAAGGTCTGGGGTACCTGGAAGATAAAGACTGGGCCTCTGTCCTCATAATGCTAATTTATCAAAGGAAATAGAGCCTTATAGTGCAGTGTGCTAAGTGAGATGATCTAGTTATGGTAGGAGATATTAACAAAGGAAATGATAGTGCAGTTCCCACAGGTGTGATTAATTTGGTTAAACAGACTCTCAGATAATAGGTAAGTACATCTGTAATACCAATTAATACTACCAGTTAGATGTACAGGGTTCATTAATTTGTTGATAATTATATTTTGCACCCTTTATGGAGGTGAGGAATATAAAGGAGTAATAAGAACTCCAGCTCTGTAGCCTGCGTATCTGCATTCAAAACCGGCCCCGCCACTTAGAGGATCTACTAAATATCAGTTTATACAACTATGAACTGAGATTTAAGGGACGTTTGTAATGTAATGTTGTTATATGGAATTATTGAGTTATTACATACAAAATAATTAAGTTCTTGCTCAGTACCTGGTGGGCTTTCTGTAAATATTTGCTGTGAGCGTTGCTGCTACTAATCATGGCAAAGCTGAAGACCCAGGCCAGTACTTGCAGGAGCACCACAGAACACTAGAGGGCAGCACCAAGGACCTGTTTTCAGCTCACTAGATTCCCCCAGCAGGGCCGCTAGGAGGCTTATGCTTATGTCCCATGACTTTTTCTCGCCCTTATCTGAGACACTTTCTCAGGCCCTTTCTTCTAGGAGGAGTGCTGTTATTGGGAGGCATTTTGATATACTTTTAAAATCTACCAGGTCCTCAAGATGGGGGTAAATTGGTACAATTTACAGGGCCTTGTGTTTTTTACTTTTGCTGGGAAACCAGCTAAAGACAAGTTAGAGAATTCCACCTGCTCTCTACCCACTGTGGCCTGTTCAGAACACCGAGGTCGCGCCTGGGACCAGGGCCAGAGCTTCAAATAGGCAGTGTTAGCTGGCTCTTCTTTGGTGGCACAAACACAACTCCAGGTAGGCAAGCAGAGCAAATGGCCCCCAGTGAAAATAACTCAATGCTGGAAACAGGTTTTAAAATTTTCTGAAGAGTATTCTCAGTGTGATTTTAAATAATGGTAATGTAATTTATCAACAACTCTTTCAAGAAAAATGAATAAAGATAGTATTTCTCAATGAAGATATAAGGCCTCAACTGCCTTACCAGCCACCTCTCCTTACATATGGGCCCCCTTAGGATCCTGCTGAAGTTTAAGACAGGCCCTGGCAAAATCCCATCATCAAATAGGATCTCTCCCATTTTCATACTTCGAAAGCACTTAGTCAGTGCCTGACTTTTATAGCCTTCACCAGTGACTGTCTTTGGTCACAGTTATGAGTTTGAGGACAAAGCTTTGAACTAGGACCCTGGAAAGGTTAGGTTATGCCAATGCTACAACTTACAAGATGCATGATTTTGTAAAGTCACTTCATGTCTCTCCTTATTGAAGAATCGAGAATACTCTTAGTTATGCAGAGTTGTCCCATGAGGTATAAAGAAAGCAGGAGAATATGATTTCTAAATCACAAGTGGTTACAGAATCATGAGTTGTAAAAATTTTACCTCCCCAGGCTGGGTGCAGTGGCTCATGCCTGTAATCCCAGCACTTTGGGAGGCCGAGGCAGGCAGATCACTTGAGGTCAGGAGTTCCATACCAGCCTGGCCAACATGGTGAAACCCCGTCTCTACTAAAAATACAAAAATTAGCTGGGCATGGTGATGCTCACCTATAATCACAGCTACTCAGGAGGCTGAGGCACGAGAATCGCTTAAACCTGGGAGGCAGAGGTTGCAGTGAGCTGAGATAGTGCCATTGCACTCCAGCCTGGGTGATAGAGCAAGACTCAGTTTCAATAACAACAAAACATTACCTCCCCTTATTGTAGCCATTGCTGTTTCTTTGTTTTTTTTCTGAGAAGGGCAGCATGTTTAGGGGGAGAGGGCTCTATGTGGGGCAGGGCTGTCAAGAAGTGGAAGTGTTTGCACAGTCTTGGAGATCAAATACCAAAGAGTGCGGCAAGGGTGATGGCAAACAGGTGAAAGAGCTCACGAGAAAGGTCACAGATAATCAGTGTGGAGGATGAGAGGGTTCTAACCTTTCATTCGTCAAAGGTTGAGGACCTATATGTCAGGCTCTGTGCTAGCTGCCAAGGATACAACCATGAACAAAAACAGTCTCTGATCTCATGGAGCTTACATTTCACTGTGAGGATTCAGACAAGTAAAGATCTATATTAGGTGGTGTAAGAAGTAAAATAGGCCAGGCGCAGTGGCTCACCTCTGTAATCCCAGCACTTTGGGAGGCCACGGTGGGCGGATCACAAGGTCAGGAGATGGAGACCATCCTGGCTAACAGTGAAACCCCGTCTCTACTAAAAAAGTACAAAAAAAATTAGCCAGGCGTGGTGGCGGGCACCTGTAGTCCCAGCTACTGGGGAGGCTGAGGCAGGAGAATGGCATGATCTCGGAAGGCAGAGCTTGCAGTGAGTCGAGAGTCGTGCCACTGCACTCCAGCCTGGGCTACAGAGTGAGACTCCATCTCAGAAAAAAAAGAAGTAAAATAAATGAGGTAAATATGTGGAGAGTGATTGTATGGTGGCTGTGCTCTAAATAGACTAGTCGGAGCAAACCCTTCTGATAAGGGAATAGGTAGGAAGCTAGTAAGTCATGCAGATAGCAGAGTAGAGCACGAACAACAAATGCAAAAATCCTGAGGCAACGGTGTGTTTTGGGTGCTTTTAACATTGAGGATATGTTTTGGGTGAGAAAAGATCACACAGTCCAGGTGTGGTGGCTCATGCCTGTAATCCCAGCACTTTGAGAGGCCAAGGAGGAGCATCACTTAAGGTCAGGAGTTGAAGACCACCCTGGCTAACATGGTGAAACTCCGTCTCTATTAAAAATACAAAAACTAGCCAGGTGTTGTGGCGCGTGCCTGTAATCCCAGCTACTTGGGAGGCTGAGGCAGGAGAACTGCTTGAACCCGGGAGGCAAAGGTTGCAGTGAGCTGAGATTGTACCACTGCATTCCAGCCTGGGTGACAGAGTGAGTCTCCATCTCAAAAAAAAAAAAAAGAAAAAAGAAAAGATCACACAGACAGTGACTCACACAGGCCCCTCCTTTCCAGGGCCTCAGTTTGTCACTCCGTTCAATAGGAGAAAGAGGAAATCATAACCACTGCTCTAATATGGGAAGAAATCGGTGCCTTGTATGAGCCAGAATAAAGAACGTATTCGATATTAGAATGAGGAGCCCTTGTTACCCCAGGTGTCTGACCTCTTTATCCAGGACTGGGCAGTCAGTATTCCTTTATTCTTCCTCCTTTCTTACCCTGACCCTTTTTTTGTTTGCTCATCTACCTAGGATTCTACAAGCAGGAAACATCTTAGAAATCAGGGCTAGGCAGGCAGGAGCCAGGAGAGTAGCTACAATGACTTCACCAGTACTGGTGGACATACGAGAAGAGGTGACCTGCCCTATCTGCCTGGAGCTCCTAACAGAACCCCTGAGCATAGACTGTGGCCACAGCTTCTGCCAAGCCTGCATCACACCGAATAGCAGGGAATCAATGATTGGTCAAGAAGGGGAAAGAAGCTGCCCTGTGTGCCAGACCAGCTACCAGCCAGGGAACCTGCGGCCTAATCGGCATCTGGCCAACATAGTGAGGCGGCTCAGAGAGGTGGTGTTGGGCCCTGGGAAGCAGCTGAAAGCAGTTCTTTGTGCAGACCATGGAGAAAAACTGCAGCTCTTCTGTCAGGAGGATGGGAAGGTCATTTGCTGGCTTTGTGAGCGGTCTCAGGAGCACCGTGGTCACCACACGTTCCTCGTGGAGGAGGTTGCCCAGGAGTACCAGGTGAGACCCCAGGATGGAAGGGGAGACAGAGAAACAGGGTCTTTGGTAGGTTTTAACGTTTTATCATGCTCTGATCTAATCTCTTTGTAGTCTTTCCATTTACCTAGAGAATGAACCTGGAAACTGCCTCCCTGATTAAGAATAGAGACTTTATCTCTTACTTGCTATTCCAGGTTGAGTAGATAGAGCTGCTGGGGGGAAAAGGGGTACTTGGTTGATTGAGTGTGGAGATACGTTGGCAGTGAAGGTAAAGGAACTTATTTACTCACGTATTTATTTTGAGAAGGCGTCTCTGTCACCCAGGCTGGAGTGCGGTGGCGTGATCTCAGCTCACTGCAACCTCTGCCTCCTGGGTTCAAGCAATTCTCGTGCCTAGCCTCCCAAGTAGGTGGGACTACAGGTGTGCACCACCATGCCCAGCTAATTGTGTGTGTGTGTGTGTGTGTGTGTGTGTGTGTGTGTGTAGTGGAGATGGGGTTTTGCCATGTTGCCCAGGCTGATCTCAAACTCTTGAGTTCAGGCAATCCGCCCGCCTTAGCCTCCCAAAGTGCTGGGATTACAGGCATGAGCCACAGGTGCTTTGTGGTCAGGCACCTTCACAAGGAGGATGGAGAACCAGCCTATTCTTGTTGGTTTTCATCCCATGTATATGAAATATTTGTTGGCCCTCTCAAGTTTTCATCCTAGGTTAGAACAGGCTCCTTTTGAGGTTAGCAGAATCTCTGTCCCATTCATTTCATGTCTGTGTACTGAGTCAACTGAAGGCTTGATCCTGCGTGATCTGATTTGTTTCTTCCAGGAAAAGTTTCAGGAGTCTCTAAAGAAGCTGAAGAATGAGGAGCAGGAAGCTGAGAAGCTAACAGCTTTTATCAGAGAGAAGAAGACATGCTGGAAGGCAAGGGGGACTTTTTCTGAGGATGTCCTGGGGCAGGAATCGTGGCAGGTCGCAGGAGCTGAGGGCAAAGGAGTCCTTGTCCTGTCTGTCCTCTGATGCCATGACTAGAAGAGCTTCCCTTTGCCCGGTCCTCCACTGTATTCCTTCCAAACAAGGGGAGGAGAGGGGAGCTAAATAGCAAACATATGAAAACTGAACCTAGGAGACAATCACATAGCGGAGGAACCATGGCTAGGGGTTCCCCCAATTCATAATTCTGGATCTTGCTCTACAGTTTCCGTCTCTTTGGCTTTTCCGTTGCATTCAGAGTACAAATGCAAGGGAAGATGCAGGTAAGGCTTGCGAAGAAGCCCAGATCTGAGACAGTTAGTCACAGGCCAGTAATTTCTACCTCAGTACTCAAAATTGGAAGAGGAGGCTGATGCAGAGGTGAGGGAGGCTTCCTGGAATCTAAATGTCACCCAGGAATCACAGTTGATGTCTAGATGGCCTAGATAAAGCAGCCCGGGGCCGGTGGTCTGGGCAGAGCTGAAGGGAGAAAAGAAGGGAAGAAAAGGCTACAAAGGCTTCCTCCTGCAGCATTTACCCTCCCTCTCCTTGGGAGGCCTGGCCCAGGAAAGCAGTCCTGAGCCCAGCTCCCCAGCTTTTAACAGAGGAGAACCTCAGTGTGACAGAATAGCAGCCTCTTTTTCTTCCCTGTTCCTGAAGAATCAGATGGAGCCTGAGAGACACAGGATCCAGACAGAGTTTAATCAGCTGCGAAACATCCTAGACAGAGTGGAGCAGCGAGAGCTGAAAAAGCTGGAAGAGGAAGAGAAGAAGGGGCTACGAATTATAGAAGAGGCTGAGAATGATCTGGTCCACCAGAGCCAGTCACTGCGAGAGCTCATCTTGGATCTGGAGCGTCGATGTCAGGGGTCAACAATGGAGCTGCTTCAGGTAAGGCTTGTGAAGGAGCTCAGATCTGAGAGTCAAGGAAAAGAGAAACTAACTTTCCTTCCTTTCTGGAACATCAGACTACCATCATTGCAGGGACAAGAAAAAACATTCCTTTGGTGCTATAGTGCCTATCCCCTATTAAACTGTTTAGAGATACGGAGTAAAGCATAAGATAATTCAGAGTCCAAATGCAAGGGAAAACCCCATTTTATTTATAAAGGTTGTCTGAAAGTTTATTTGATGCTGTGAAGAAGATCTGTTGTATCCATTGGTGGTGTTCTTTCTGTTCTTTCTTTCTCAGTCTTGGCACTATTTACATTTCTGACTGGATAATTCTTTGCTGCATGGGATTCTCCTGTACATTGTAGGATGTTTAGCAGCGTCTCTGGCCTCTGCTCACTAGATGGCAGCAGCACCACCCCAGATGTGACAACCCCAGATTTCTTCAGACATTGCCACGATAGCCCCAGGGTGAATACAGTGCTCTCCCAATTGAGAACCACTGTTCGTTAGGCACCTCTTGTCTCTGATGCTGTGTTGGGAATTTGCCAAGTGCTTCTTACCCAGCTTAGTCACAGGCACACTTATGCCAAGCTAAATTCTTAGAGATGATGTATTACCAGCCCTTCTTTGTTTTCACTCTCTTCTCTAGAACAGAATGATTTAACATACTCTAGTAATAGATATTTGAACTGGTTTTGGGGGTCTGGGCTCTGGTCTATATGTGTGTAGGTCAAAGATTACAAAGTATCAAGCCTAGAAAGATTTGATGGAGGGACTTGAACTAAGGTTGAAATTTTAGCAGCTGTTTTCTGCATAGAATGAATAGTGTGGCTGTGAATTTGAGGCATGATGTACCTTGTGATATTCTGTAACCTTTAGAGTGTAAGATATTCTTTATGTTTTGTTTGCCTTCGTGCTTTCCTCTTGTTCTTTCTTTCTTGGTGGAATAATTGTTTATTTACATATTCTTGGGTCTTAGTATGAGAGCCATGGGTAGCTACTTTCTGCCTAGTACAGCTGTTTCTCATTCACTGCTTCCTGCTTTGCATCTTCATTTTATTCTTCTTGCCGTTTTGTCCTCATCATTCATATTGTTACCCTGATACTTTCTCCTTCACTCTTTTGTTCTGGCCCCTCACCACTCCTCAAACTGTAAATATTTTTAAATGCAAATGAATCATCAATTCATATTGCTAGTTTAGATACTTCCACATTCATTAGTATGACTGCCCGATGGACATTTAAACTTGAGTCTTTTCTAACAATAAATTTTCTAGAATTTTCCCATCACAGACATTCTTCCTTCTCTTTTCCATATCTGTGTGAATTGTTGCCCATTAAGATTTTATAGCCAAGATAAAAGCTTCAAAATATAGACATAAAGCCAACATAAGAGAATTAGCCACGAAATAGCACATCGATTTGATCATTTCAGTTCCTCAGTACAGCCACAATGTAAGATTGATACAATCCTGGATATTTACTGCAAATTGACACACACAGCACCTCTACCACGTTGTGTGTTCAAGCCAGTTTGAGTTGTGTCTCTATGAAATGCCACCATAAACAGTCCTAATACAGAGAAAATAGTTAATCTTGTGTTATATGGACCAAACTTAAGCTTTTCTTCAGGGTCATTGAGATCTATGGAGCAGAAGATAAAGAGACCAAATAGAAGGGAATAGGCCAATTCCATGGAAATGAGACTGGCAGTGGCAGTGATAAAGGTGAACAATCTGTGGCTAAATGAAATTAAGTATGTGAGGTGGACTGACTTGGGCAAAGATAGGAGGCCAGGGTGAATGTATGATAATTATTACCTATTTGCTTAAATTTGGTGACTAGGTGGTTGCTAGTATGATTCAGTAGGATGGAAGGGAGACAAGAGTTGCAGAAATAAGTTTTCTTTTAAACATCTTGTATTTGAGGTACCTGTGACTCATTTGCTGGTGTATATATTAATCAAAATCATAAGGAAAGTGGGCTGAGCAGAAGTACAGATTTGAGAATCATCAACATGTGTGTGTTAAAATGAAGGAAATGGATGAAGTCAGCAAAGGTAGGGTAGAGGGTTAGAGAAGGTGAAGTTTGAGAAGCAACCATATTTAAAACCCATGAGCCTGTATCTCCAGCAACCAGAACAGAATGTAAGCTACTCAAGGATGGAGATTATGACTTCATCATCTGAGGTTCTGTAGGCCAGGCACAATGCCTGACAAATAATACATGCTATACATACATAACATTACACATGCATAAGCACACACACGATGTTGTGAAAATCGAGACACTGATGAGTCAGTTGAGTTATTTTTTGAGGTCTTCACATGGGTTCTTAGGGACAGTCTGGCCTGAGTTTTTATCTCTGCTCTGTGGCTCCATGTTAGGATGGTCTTTATGTGTGTCATGTCATGGGGTAGTGGACATGGAAGGAGAAATGTGGATAAGGGCATGACCTGTTACTCCTTGACTTAACCTGTCTTTTTCCTTCCTAGGATGTGAGTGATGTCACAGAAAGGTATGTGTAGGAGAACATGAGGTAGCTCCCCTGGATTGACAGATGATTCCTTTACCCATGAACAGTGGGAAAGGGAAGAAGAATCAGAGTGGGGAAGATTCAAGACTGTAGTCTTGAATTGAGAATCACATGAGAGTTTTGGCATCCCCAGCTAAAGGGGATGAACTGGCTTCTCTGGTAGGAAAATGTGGGCGATGGGAGGTCACTAGTTGGGGACAGTACTGTTATTTAGAATAAAGAATTGCAGTATCGCGCCATTGCACTCCAGCCTGGGAGACAAAGGGAGACAGACTCCGCCTCAAAAAAAAAAAAAGAATAAAGAGTTGCAGTATCAGTGACTCCCCAAGTACCCTGTTAAGTGTACTTTTCAGTAAACCTCTGTGCCTGCTTTCATCCCTGATTCTTAAGTTTATAGTTACCTCAAAATACACAGGAATTTTCTTTGCCCGTAATTTTTTTTTTTTTTTTTGAGACAGAGTCACACTCTGTTGCCCAGGCTGGAGTGCGGCGGTGTGATCTCGGCTCACTGCAATTTCCTGCCCGTGAATTTTATCAGTGACATTCCTATCTGCATTATTTCTCAAGGTCTAAGAATTTGCTCTTGGGACTTTTTCTTTCTCCCAGGCCTTGCTCCCTAGTAGATTTTCTTTTGTCTCAATTCCAGTAAAAACATAAACCCGAGCTCTTGAGGATAATAATTGAGCCCGGGAATCAAACGTGTTCTCTATCGCATACTCCAGAGTCTTAACAACAAGGTGACATCTCAAGCTGCTTGCACACTTGGTACCTTCATGCTCCTCACAGACACATAAAATATGAAGCCTGTTGTCCCTTCTGAAATCTGTACTCTCCATTTGGAGGTGAGGATATCTTTTCTCCAGCTGGCGGCATAACATTCCCAGAGACAGCACATCTTAAAATGCTGTGTTGAAGGTTTTCTGAGAAATCCTAGGGCCTAAGCCCACAGACTCTTCTGAAGAAACCCCTTCACTTGATACTCTCCAAGCCCCAGCAGCAGGCCCCTGGTGTTCTGTCTTCAACCCAGACATCTTCAGCCCCTCTGATTTTAAATATTTTATATCTTTTTTTAGAGGTAGCAAAAGATTTCCAAGCCATTATTTTACTGAATTGCATAACATCTCTAGGACATAGAAAAAGGAAAATTATAGTATTTTCTAAAAATAACAACAGAAAAACAAAATGAGACATTAAGAAGTTAAATGTTGGCCAGGTGCAGTGACTCACATCTGTAATCCCAGCACTTTGGGAGGCCGAGGAGGGCGGATCACGAGGTCAGGAGGTCGAAACTATCCTGGCTAACATGGTGAAACCCTATCTCTACTAAAAATACAAGAAAATTAGCCAGGTGTGGTAGCATGTGCCTATAGTTCCAGCTACTCGGAAGGCTGAGGCAGGAGAATTGCTTGAACCTGGGAGGTGGAGGTTGCAGTGAGCTGAGATCGCGCAACTGCACTCCAGCCTGGGCGACAGAGCAAGACTCCATCTCAAAGAAAAAGTTAAATCTTACACAAGTTTATGTAGATGGTGAGATGATAGTTTCTAGTCTAGGTCTTCTGGCTCCAGTGCCAGGGCTGTTTGCAAAATGATGCTAAGTTTCTTCAGAAAGGAGGATTGGAGTTCATCAGTAGGCTTGGGAGGTAAGGGAGACGGGTGGCAGAGGAACCCATAGTCAGCAGTGTGGGAACTCAGAAGTCGTGTCCTGTCTAGGAGTGAGTTCTGGACCCTGAGGAAGCCAGAAGCTCTCCCTACAAAGCTGAGAAGTATGTTTCGAGCCCCAGATCTGAAAAGGATGCTGCGAGTGTTTAGAGGTAAGGAGATTCAGAGGAAAGAGTTTGGATGTGAAATCACTTCGTGGGAAGAAATAAACAGGATCGAGGATATAGTTGGTATTTGAGCATAGTGGCAAAGAGGGAGGTCCCAGAGGGAGGGACATAATGTGCTGAAGAAGATGCAGTTTGTATTTAAGGGGAGATGAAATGGCCAGGTGACATCCTCACAGGATTCCTCACCATGCCCCTCAATCTGGTAAGGAGAGAGATACCAGACATGAGACAACTGGTCCTATTCAACATTCTTGACTCTTTTTATCATTACAGAGCTGACAGATGTCCAAAGCTACTGGGGTAAGTAGAAGCCATGGCCTCTTTGGGCTGGCACATTCTGATCTCCTTTCACATGTGCTCCCCAGACATAGCCACACAGGTCCTAGGTGTTGATGCCTCCCCCATCCCCGCCATATAGTTCCAGTTCCTCCAACCACTTCCTGTGTTTCCTCTTCTCAGCATAATGAGACCCATGTCCCCATTCTCATCTGCTGATGTTGTACCTTTTCCTACAGTGGACGTGACCCTGAATCCACACACAGCTAATTTAAATCTTGTCCTGGCTAAAAACCGGAGACAGGTGAGGTTTGTGGGAGCTAAAGTATCTGGACCTTCCTGTCTGGAAAAGCATTATGACTGTAGTGTCCTGGGCTCCCAGCACTTCTCCTCCGGAAAGCATTACTGGGAGGTAGATGTGGCCAAGAAGACTGCCTGGATCCTGGGGGTATGCAGCAATTCAGTGGGACCTACATTCTCTTTCAACCATTATGCTCAAAATCACAATGCTTACTCCAGGTATCAGCCTCAGAGAGGATACTGGGTGATTGGGTTACAGCATAACCATGAATACAGGGCCTATGAGGATTCTTCCCCTTCTCTGCTCCTCTCCATGACGGTGCCCCCTCGCCGTGTTGGGGTTTTCTTAGATTATGAGGCTGGCATTGTTTCCTTTTATAATGTCACAAACCATGGCTTCCCCATCTACACTTTCTCTAAATATTACTTTCCCACTACTCTTTGTCCATATTTTAATCCTTGCAACTGTGTAATTCCTATGACCCTGCGTCGTCCAAGCTCTTGAATAGTCTTCTGTTCCCACCCACTTCTGATAAGTACCCTGAGGCTTATCAGCATGTGATTCTCCCTTCTGATCTTCTGTTTTCTGTGTTCTCAATTCTTTTGTCATTTTTTTGGTTTTTGGATTTGTTTGAGATGGAATCTCGCTCTGTTGCCCAGGCTGGAGTGCAGTGGCGCAATCTCAGCTCACTGCAACGTCTGCCTCCTGGGTTCAAGCAAACCTCCTGCCTCAGCATCCCAAGTAGCTGGGATAACAGGCTCCCACCACCATGCCCAACTAATTTTTGTATTTTTGTAGAGATAGGGTTTCACCGTGTTGGCCAGGCTGATCTCGAACTCCTGACCACAAGTGATCCACCCACCTCGATCTCCCAAAGTGCTGGGATTACAGATGTGAGCCACCGCACCCAGCCAATTCTTTCGTTTTAAACATTTACTCAGTACTAGGATGCACCCAGTGGTGAAAGTAGGCATCTTTGTCTGATGACAGGTCTTGACGTGGATAGGGGGCACTTTCATTATTTTGCCGTTAAGCATCGTATTTGATGCAGGTTTTTTTTGTTGTTGTTGATGCAGGGGATCAAATTTAGGAAGTTCTCATCTGTTAATTTGCTACAAGTTTTTGTATAAAATGAAAAACCGTATTCTACCTATGTCTTTTCTGTAAATTATTGAGATAATTGTGTGTAATTTTTATTCTGTTAATGTGGCTTAGTACATTGATTTACTTCAATTTGTTATATTGGCCACAAATTGCTGAAATACACTATTATTTGTTGTATGCAATACTGGATTTATTTTGATAATGTATTGTTTAGATTTTGTTTTCATCTATGTTAATGAAAGAAATTGGCCTGTATTTTTACATTCTTGTAATATCTTTGCCAGGTTCTATAAAATGCAATAATAACCAAATAAATTACTGTGTTTTTGTATAAGTATGTATAGGATTGGGCTCTAAAGCCAAACCATTATAATGATAATTTGGGTAGCTTCAAACTCAAATTGAAGAGAGTCTTCGCTACAATCTTCACTACAACCTTCGGCCTTCCTCTCTACATTTAAGAATAGCAATAGAACAATAAAAACTATATATATCTTTCCGATAAATTGAAGTAAAAACAAAAGGATAGTGGAGAGAGAAAAACAATCCAATACATATTTTTCTCTCAGAATAGAAAGAAAATTCAAAGAGAAAATATGAATAATATAAAGCACTTACAGGAAGAGGATGATTTCTTCCAGCTTTTCCACACTCTCTTTTCCTTAGCACAGGAACAAACAGCTGGTGAGTGAGCTGCTGTGACTTTGGTAGAGAGGTGCAATATGTTTTTTGAACCAGCTATAAAAGAAATTATGAGGTACATGTGAGGGTAGAAACAAGTATCAAGGAGAAGAATGGCACTGGCTGTCCCATGTGGTATCCAGGAGCCACCAATGTCTATTGAGGACTTCACACATGACTAGTCTGAATTGAGATGTGCTCAAAGTATAAAATGTATACCAGATTTCAAATACTTACTTCAAAAAATAATGTAAAATATCTCACTAATAACTTTTCCTTTGCGTATTGCAATGATAATATGTTGGCTCTATTGGATTAAATAAAATATGTTATTCATTGTACCTGTTCCATTTTACTTTTTTAATGTGATACTAGAAACCTTAAAATTGTATTTCTATTGGACAACTCTGGAGCAGATCCTATAATGAAATTTCTGTCCCTAAGTGAGCCCTAGTGTAAAAGCCTGTGGACTCAGGATACAGAGGAGGTTTCAAGGCACATATGTTTATCTCTACAAGAACCTGCTGCCCTGAGGCATTTTTATAGAAGGTAATGCCAGAGAAAAGAAGATCTCAACATATCTAGAAGTGTAGAAATTTGGAAGATCATAGGAAGGGCTCATGGCCAGAGAATGATTCTGCCGGCTCTGGCCCCTGCCGTTAGTCCTCAGTCTGTTGGGTGCTTGAAGCTCCTTCGTGGTTTGAGGAAATACTGATTTGTTAGCAAGGCTCAGCTTGGGTGTCTGTGGTGAGATAAAGTAGTGCGGGTAATAGTAAAAGCTCAGTACTGGTTTGTTCTAAGGCACGGTTTTATAATAATTAGGAGATTACGTCTGTGGAAGCCCAGAGACTGGATGCTCTGCATTTCAACTCATCCTGCTCTGCATTTCAACTGGAAAAGATATAAAAGGAGACAGAGCCAGCTGACTGGGGCCCATGGGGCTGGTGGAAGTTCAGGAAAGAGAAAGATCTGCTGGAGTACTTATCCCCTTCCCACTTATTTTCCCATACAGTAAGTTCTAGGCAAAAAATTAGCCCAGCTGTCTTCTACTGTAAACTCACTTTACAAGTAAATTTACTTTCTAAGTGAATTTACTTTATAAGTAAAATGTTTTTTTGTCACCAGAGTTCTAGGGATGTGGTATAGTTATCCCGATATTTCCCCAAATGTGAGTGCTTGCTAGGGTGGGCATTTCAGTTTGATGCTAACTTAAAAAGATTTTGGAAGGGAGAGGAACTTTCTTAACATCTTTATTGTGATATTTACAAGTACTTGCTGGAATTCTATAGGTAAGACCTGGGGAAGGTTGCTCAATGTGAGACTTGGGGACAATTATTAGGGTAAGTTCAGAGCTCTGACCTTTTCCTGAGGGATTATGGGGGCTTGACAGAGGCCTTCTGTTCTTGAAATTTTTGGTGTGATAGAGTAGGCTAAACTACTTTAAAAAAAAGAACCAAAATACATAATGGATCAAATACTAAAGAAATGTATTTCTTGTTAATGTAAAACAATTGGTCATGAGTATATGTAACTGGTGGTGAGTGGCAATGTTCCATGTGGGATTCGTGCGCCAAGCTTGCTTTCATCTTGTGGCACTTGCTGTACCCCAGAATAGTAGTAACAGCATCAAGCTGGCAGAAAGGTAAAGAAAAAACTTAGCGGAGAAAACTTGCTTTTTAAATCCTTAGTTCATAGATGAGATTCGTAATATCTGCTCATTTTCTGTTGATGAGAATAGCCATATGGCTAAACCTAACTGTAAAGATTTTTTATATGTCTAGCTGTATGCAATCATCTACCATCAAATTTCAAGGGAAAGAAAACTCAGATTTTGGTGGAAACTGCCTGGAACCCTAAGTAGTCCCTTTTCCCATTATACAGGACTCAGGATCTCAGCTTTTTTCTGGAACTATGTTAATTCTATTCTATAACCTAAAGTTTGTAAAAGAAAACCGTATTGTCACTAAAGTTCTAGACATGTGGTATAGTTATCCTAATATTTCCCAACAAGTGAGTGGCAGGTAAGTTTGATTCTAACTTTAAAAAAATTTTTTAGGGGAAGAGGACTGTCTTCATATTATCATTGTGATATAACTGACATATAATACATTTCATAAAGTATATAACTTGATACATTTTGACTCGTGAAACTCATCACCATCAAGGCAATAAATCAGATGACGTTCTTTTATGTATATATAGCACTTAGAGCTATAAATTTCCTTCTATGGCATCTCACAAATTTTGATATATTCTCCATTCTATTCAAGATTCTATTTTCCCTTTTGATTTCTTCTTTGACCATTGAATTATTTAAAATTGTATTTTTTCCCTAATCTATGAGGATGTTCATATATCTTTTTGTTATTGGTTTATAATTTAATTTTATATGGTCCAGATATAGACTTTATATGACTTGAATCCTTTTTAAATGTATTGAGACTTGTTTTATGGTGAAGGATATGATCTATATCAGTAAATGTTTCATTTGCACTTGAAAGAAATGTGTATTCTCTTGTCCTGGGGTACAGTGTTCAATAAACATCATGTTGGTCAATATTATTCAAATCTTCTATATCCTTACTGATTTTCTATGAGAGAGGGGTGTTGACATTTCCAACTATATTTATGAATTTGCCTATTTCTCCTGCAATTCTATCAGATTTTGCTTTTTGATTTTTGAAGCTGTTTTGTAAGGAGCATACACATTTAGGAATGTTACATCCTGTTGATGAATTGACCCCTTTCTCATTATGGAATTACCCTCTATCTCTACTAATATCTTTTTCTACTTTGTTAGATATTAATTTAGCCACTCTAGCTTTTTTTTTCTGTTTCTGTTTTTTTTTTTTTTTTTTTTTTTTTTTGAGACGGAGTCTTGTTCTGTCATCCAGGCTGAAGTACAGTGGTGTGATCTTGGCTCACTGCAACCTCTGCCCCCTGGATTCAAGTGATTCTCCTGCCTCAGCTTCCTGAGTAGCTGGGATTACAGGCGCCTGCCACCACATCCAGCTAATAATTGTATTTTTAGTAGAGACAGGTTTTCACCATGTTGGTCAGATTGGTCTCGAACTCCTGACCTCAGGTGATCCACCCGCCTTGGCCTCCCAAAGTGCTGGAATTACAGGCATGGGCCACCGCACCCAGCCCAGCTTTCTTTTGATTATTGTTTTCGTAACATACCTTTTCATCTTTTTACTTTTAAACTATTTGTGTCTTTATATTTAAAGATTATTTAGGCCAGGTGCAGTGGCTCATACCTGTAATTCTAGCACTTTGGGAGGCTGAGGTGGGTGGATCACCTGAGGTTGGGAGTTCAAGTCCGGCCTGAAAAACATGGAGACACTCCATCTCTACTAAAAATACACAATTAGCCGGGTGTGGTGGCACATGCTTGTAATCCCAGCTACTCGGGAGGCTGAGGCAGGAGAATCACTTGAACCTGGGAGGCAGAGGTTGCGGTGAGCCGAGATCGTGCCATTGTACTCTAGCCTGGGCAACGAGAGCGAAACGCCATCTCAAAAAAAAAAAAGTAAGTAGCATGTTATTGCTCTAGGTAAATGATATAGTTGTCTTCATTTTTCCCAACAAGTTACTGTCTGAATGGGCATTTTAACTTAGTTTTAATTAAAATTTAGATATTTTGCTACTTTACCTGTTGTCTAAATGATCTTGATTCCATGGGACTCTCAGTTTTTTAAACATTTGCTGTATAACTGCTTCGTGCATACAATCTAGCCCTATTCTTCACAGAGACTCAGTCAATTTTAGATAAAACAAAGGCATATTCTGTGCCAGGTTTATTTCAACCATCTTTTAGAAGATAAATTTGGGGTTCTAGGGTTCCAAGATTTGAAACATTATATTTGATTGGTGAAGGGCTCGTTCTCAGGTCCTCATTGGGTTGATGTTTGAGACCGAGAATAACCTTTTTTTTTTTTTTCTTGAGATGGAGTCTCCCTCTTGTTGCCCAGGCTGGAGTGCAGTGGCACGATCTCAGCTCACTGCAACCTCTGCCTCCCGGGTTCAAGTGATTTTCCTGCCTCAGCCTCCCAAGTAGCTGGGATTAAAGGTGCCTGCCACCCCTAGCTAATTTTTGTATTTTTAGTAGAAACAGGATTTCACCATGTTGGCCAGGCTGATCTCAAACTCTCAGTCTCAGGTGATCTACCTCCCTTGGTCTGCCAAAGTGCTGGGATTACAGGAATGAGCCACCACGCCTGGCTTTTTTTTTTCTTTCTTTCTTTTAAATAAATGCAAGCTTAGGTAAAGGCTCATGTCAAACAAGGAATCAACTAAGAAATTGATTCATTTTTATCCATCTTGAAAACATACTAGTATTTGGAAGGCAAATAATTAAAATACGAAAAACAGGGAAACTGAGTCTATTTTGGAATCTTTGAAAAAGCAGAGGAGAAATGTTAGAGAATTGAAGATAGAACTGCAAGTTTATGGCATTATTGCCTATCTCAGCTAAGCATTGGCCTTTATTTCAAGAGATCAAAGGAAACACTCACATTTTCGAACTGAAAGTCAATACATACATTTGAATCACATACATTTCCACCTGACCACTAAGGGTACTTGTATGAAGACAGCAACTGAGTTTTCTATATTGTTTCCTGTGTGTTAATCACATTTCTACACATTATATATATGGACTTAATTTTTTTTTTTTTTTTTTTTTGAGACAGAGTTTTGCACTTGTCGCCCAGGCTGGAGAGCAATGACACAATCTTGGCTCACTGCAACCTTCGCCTCCCAGGTTAAGCGATTCACCAGCCTCAGCCTCCCGAGTAGGCTGGGATTACAGGCACCCACCACCACGCCTATCTAATTTTTGTGTTTTTTAGTAGAGACAGGGTTTCGCCATGTTAGCCAGGCTGGTCTCAAACTCCTGACCTCAGGTGATCCACCCGCCTTGGCCTCCCAAAGTGCTGGAATTACAGGCTTGAGCCACTGCATACGGCCTGGACTCAATCTTTATAGTGGTCCTATGAAAATAGGTACTGTCATTATCCCTTTTTTAAAAAAAAGTGAGAAAATGGAGGTACAGTGAGATGAAAGAATTAGCTCAAAGTTGGACAAATATGAAGTGGTAGAATTAGCCTACAAAACATGGCAGCAAAATTCAGAGGCAACATTTTTATTCATTCCTCTCTGTTAGAAATCTGAAAAGGTCAGTGTGTGAGTCAAATCCTACTTTGATATCTATTTTTGTAAATGTACTTTATTGGAATATCACCATGCTCATTTATGTATCATCTGTGACTGCTTTCAGGTTACAACAGCAGTGTTGACTGGTTGCAACAGAGACTGCTTGACCTGCAAATCCTAAAATATTTACTGTTTGACCAGGCTGACCAACATGGTGAAACCCCGTCTCTACTAAAAATACAAAAATTAGCCGGGCATGGTGGCACGTGCCTGTAATTCCAGCTATTTGGGAGGCTGAGGCAGGGGAATCGCTTGAACCCAGGAGGCAAAGGTTGCAATGAGCAGAGATCATGCCACTGCACTCCAGCCTGGGCAACAAAGTGAGACTCCATCTCAAAAAATAATAATAATAATCAAAGTAATGTATAATGCTCAAAATGTAATCTCAGGCCTAATGAAGGAATAGATTCCTATAATTATATTACTCATAAATGATGTAAGTAATATTAAAGTTGGGGTCTACCTTGGTCTAGACCAAGGTAATGATGAAAACTTCAAGTTGAAAGCTTATGTTGAAAAACAAAATAAAATCATTTCATATGCAGATTTTAACACCACATTCAGGAATATCAATGGATATACAGGGTAAAAGAAGAGAGAAAATTAGCCTATGATAAACTGTATACATTGCATATTGATTAATCTATTATAAAACAATGGCACAAGTACATGATTGTTTTGATTCTTGAGCTTTGATTGATTATAGATAACATCAAATATAGTATACTCTGGGGGAGAAAAGATTGGACTATGAGAGGAAATTCTATTTGAAGCTTTGTATAATTATAAGACATAAGGAGGATACAAATCTCATGAAGGGCAGATTTGGGAGAGAAACAGTAACAAAGCTAAAACCATGACTTACTTGGGAAACATCAGTGTAGCATGATAAGGACAAGCCATTTTAAATCAGTCACATGAGCAGGCTTCATGTCATTGGGTAAAAATTCACAGTAACCCTGGAGAAAATTAAGAATGTGTGAATCGATGTATTGTGTGCAAATGGTGATATGATGGTAGCCTGAGTCATATGAACTCCTTGGGAAAAACGGCCAACTTTGTGTAGCAAGTGAACTTTGTACTCCTATTATCTAAAAAGAGCATCTGCATGTACTCATTGACAAAAGTTGACATCTACCCTGCATATGGAATATCTGTCCCTGTCTCTTAGGCATTGTACCATTAAGGCCAAGAGATTGCCATTATCAATAATTTGATGTCCCCAAAACAGTTTCAGTGGGAACCACATGACCATACAAGAATACACCTCCTTCATTCTGTTACCAGAGAAGTGCAGGAATCTTCAGTTCTTTGTCTTACTTGGAGAAAGCATTCTGCTTTCAAGTCTTTTCCAGTGGAGAGTAGGCCTTTGTTACGGGGGATGCTCTGAACATATTTCAGAACGGTACTTTTACTGTCTCTCTGCCAGAAAAGAAAGGATCTTTTTCTTGGCTTTCCAATATGGGAACTCACTTTGGTTTTTGGAGGTAAATTCCAAGAAAGTGGGGCGGGGGTGGGGCCCTAAGTCTAGGTGCTAGGAGTTTCTCTCTCTCAAGCTAGTCCATAATCAGCCTCCAGCAATTTGTCAGAACTGCTGTTTAAGTGTTCCTACCAGTATATGACTCATGCAAGTCCTTTTTCAAAAAAAAAAATTTTTTTTTTTGAGACTGAGCCTCACTCTGTCGCCCAGGCTAGAGTGTAGTGGTGCGGCCTCAGCTCACCACAACCTCTGTCTCCTGGGTTCAAGTGATCCTCCTGTCTCAGCTTCCGGAGTAGCTGGGATTGCAGGCACCCACCACCATGCCCGGTTAATTTTTGTAATTTTGTAAACAGGGTTTCAACATGTTGGCCAGGCTGGTCTCAAACTCCTGACCTCAAGTGATCCACCCGCCTCAGCCTCCCAAAGTGCTGGGATTATAGGCGTGAGCTACTGTGTCCAGCCAAGCTTTGTTTTTCTTGTGAGGATTGGAGTAATGATTCTCAAGCTCTTTACATGTTGGAACTAAAATTGGAAGTTCCTGGTATTCTTTTCTACTTCTGTGGTAATCTCTTTCTTTGGAAATCACTTTCTCTGTCTGCCCAGCTAAGTCTCCATTTTTCAGGTTACTGGTGCACATTATGCCTTACAGTGGGAGGGTCAGAAGTACTGTCATGGGCTCCCTCTGCAATGGCATTTGTCAGTGTTCTCTTCCTCAAGATTAGCTGCTTCTTTCCATTGAAGTGAGAGGCTCTGGTAGTCCTCAGGAATGAAGTAAAGCCTGTTCTGCTCCTACAGTGAGATAGCTGGGCAAAAGCTGCTGTGCAGTGTTCACTATGTGGTACAGTCCCTGTGTCTTTTGGGATTTTTGTTGCCAACTATCCTTCCTCTGCTTCTAAACTGGTAAAGCAGTTTCTGCTCTGCTCCCAGCTTTGCTAGAATACTTTTAGTCCCCATATCTTGGTGACCTTTGGTGGAGGAAGGGATTCCAAGTTAGATACCCACAGTTTCTCTATGTGTAGACACACATCCCTATCTCCAGCACTCATCCATGGCAACTGGAGGAAATCCATTTCTATCCATTTTCCTTTGACCCCTGAATCCCAGTCGCCCCTTTATTGCAATGCCCGAGGCTCTGGATCACTACAAGCTGCTGCACTCTCTTA